AGCCCAGCCCCGGCCTCTCTGCTGCCGGGCTGGGGGTGCTTTCTTTCCTGGCCCAGGGGCCAAGTCCAGCTAGCCCCATCTGGGGGTAAGGTGGGCAGCAGGGGCACCCAGAGAAGCCAGCACTCCCTCAGGGGGCAACTGTCCTTACCCACGTCCAGCAGAAGGGCCATTTTCCCCTCAGTCCCTGCTGTGGTCCTCAGGGCTTTGTGGATTAGACCAGGGAGCATTCTAAAAACAAAAACCCAAATAGCTAGGAGCTGGGAGGCCTTGACTTACCTTCCCTGCGAGCACAGTTAGAGCCGTCTGGTGGAAACCAGCGGGTCCTACTGGCTGGGTAAAGAGACAAATGTCTTGGGCGCCCTACATCCCTCTTCTAAGCCAGTTTAGGAGTGGCCGGGAAAATCACCGCTAACTTCGTTAGAGACCACTGGTTCAATGCCTGAAACTCGAATTTCTGTGGCGTCGCCGGTGTGCGGGCCTGAAGCCAGCTTCCTCAGCCAAGAACATTAATTAAGCACTCCCTGCATACGTTCCCTGAAGAGCTGACCTCCTATGGGACTGTCTGGTGGCTTGGGAACCCAGCTGCCAGCAGAGAGGATCGCCCCATGCCCGTGAGGGGCCCAGAGTGGTCCTGCGGGGATTCGGAGGGGCCTGTGTGCCTGTAAGGATCCGCAGGCTCTCGTAAACGCTCGTCTCGGTTGGAATATTGGTCTGCATCGCTAGAATGGCTAACAGTTCTAAGCACCTGGCCACACGCAGTCCTGGCATTTCTTCCCATTTAGCAGATGCAAAGCCCAAGGTCACACAGCTAATATGTGTGTGTGGCGGGGGAGTAGGAGGGGTTCAAGCTCGGAGTCCATGGGTACTTACTGTGTCCTGTCCTGGGCCCTCTGACCTTGGAGCCCCTACCCACAGCGCCAGGGCCAGGCATCAGCTGACCGCCGACCAGCCAGGGGACGGGGAGGGAGGACTGATGGAGGTGCGGGACAGGGCTGGGGTCAACACCCAGGGATCTCAGCTCCAGGCCTCAGCTTCCTCCTCTGTGAAATGGGTGGGCCTTGTGACCCTTCCATCCCGCCTCCTGTGACTGGGTGCAGGACGGGGCTCCCATCCTGACTCTGCAGCCTCCACGGCCCCGAGCCTGGGCCTGCCAGCTATCTTCCTGACCTGCGAGAGGGGGTGCTGACGGACTCACAGACATGCTGCCGCACCGGGGCAGTGCCTCCCCTTGGTTTACACGGAGCCCAGCCCTGGAGCGAGGAGGTCACCTACACAGGCTCCTTCCTGGGGTGGGTGAGCACCCGCAGCAGCTGGCCCTGCGTCCCCTCATCTGTGTAGTACACTGTATGCTTGCCCGAAGCTTCCACGTTTTCCACCAGAGATACGTTCCTGAGGGGAGGAAGAGCGAGGCAGACCCTGAGGCACAAACGGGGTCGGGAGGTTGGGAGACTCTGACAACACAGTCGCCTTTCCTCCCCAGGGCTCCGGGTAAGAAACGAGCTATGAATAAACAGCCCCCGAATGCAGTTATAGGCAGAGGGGACAGTGCCGGGGTGGTGCAGCCGTAATGGGGCCTC